CCATAAAACAGGGATGTCGCCCAAACATAGGAGTGGCTTTTGAATCAAGTGTTTGCAGAATAAAAATGCACCCACCAAAATACAAGATATATAGTCTGGCTCTATTGTGACACATCACTAGTGAAATCCAATCAAGCAATATTTAATGACTACTATTATTATCATAAAAAGCAAATCTTTGTTGAATTCCTATTCCACTATGGAAATTGATCTAAGTGTTTTTTAAATTTTTATTAATTAATTTATTTTATAATATTATATTTTTAAATTGAAGTATGTTAGGTTACACTCTATTTATAGTTATTGTAAAATATTGGCTGTATTCCCCACATTGTACAATACATCCTTGCAGCTTATTTTATACCTAATAGCTTGTACCTCTTAATCTTCCACCTCCACCCTGCCCCTCTCCCTTCCCTCTCCCCACTAGTGACCACTAGTTCCTTCTCTACATCTGTGAGCCTGTTTCTTTTCTGTTATATTCACTAGTTTGTTGCATTTTTTTAGACTCCACATGAAAGTGATATCTTACAGTATCTGTCTTTCTCTGTCTGACTTATTTCACTCAGCATAATGCCCTCCAAGTCCATTCATGCTGTACACCAGAAACTAATACAACATTTTAAATCAACTGTACTTCAATTAAAAACCAAGCAACAAACCAGCCCATTTAAAAGGTGGGCAGAAGAACTGAACAGACATTTTTCCAAAGGAGGAAATGCAGATGGTGAACAGGGGCATGAACAGTGCTCAACATCACTAATATCAGGGAAATACACATCAAAACCACAATGAGACATCAGCTTACACCTGTCAGAATGGCTGTCATCAAAAAGAACATAAATAACAAATGTTGGCAAGGATGTGGTGAAAAGAGAGCCGATGTACATTGTTGGTGGGCATGTAAATTGGTGCAGCCACTATGGAAAATAATATGGAGGTTTCTCAAAAACCTAAAAAATAAAACCGTTGTATGGCCCAGCATATATCTGAGAAAAACAAAAACATTAATTCAAAAAGATACATACACCCCACTGTTAATGGCAGCATTATAATTGCCAAGATATGGAAGTATCCCAAGTTCATATCAATAGATGAATTGATAAAAAAGATGTAGCATATATATGTAATGGAATACAACTCACCCATAAAAAGAAGCATATTTTGCCATTTGTGGCCCTTCATTCACTTTTTTTTCACTTCAAAAACCAGAATTTTATAACTGGCATAAACATTTCCATTGCACCAAAACAACAAAATACCTAGAAATAAACTTAACCAAGGAGGTTACCTATACTCTGAAAAATGTAAAACATTGATGAAGGAAACTGAAGATGATATAAAGAAATGGAAAGATATCTTATGCTCATGGATTAGAAGAATCAACATTATCAGAATGGCCATCCATACTACCCAAAGCAATCTACAGATCCAATGCAATCCTTGTCAAAATACTCACATTTTTCACAGAACTAGAACAAAAAATTCCAAAATTTATATGGAACCATAAAAGACCCCAAATTGCCAAAGTAGTCTTTTGTAGGATTTTTTTTCTTTTTTCTTTTTGTTCTCTTTTCTTAAGGTTTGATGACTAGAGAAGTTCCTTTAACATTTGTTGTAAATCTGGTTTGGTGATGCTGAATTCTTTTAGCTTTTGTTTATCTGTGACGCTTTTGATTTCTCCATCAAATCTGAACGAGAGCTTTGCTGGATAGAGTATTCTGAGTTGCAAGTTTTTCCCTTTCATCACTTTAAATATATCGTGCCACTCCCTTTTGGCCTGTAGATTTTTCAATTTCTGCTGAAAAATCAGCTAATAACCCTATGGGAGTCCCCTTGTATGTTATTTGTTGCTTTTCTCTTGCTAATTTTAATATTTTCTCCTTACCCTTAATTTTTGTCAATTTGATTACTGTGTGCCTTGGTGTGTTCCTCTTTCGGTTGATTCTGGGTGGAACTCTCTGTGCTTCTTGGACTTGGATGACTGTCTCCTTTCCCAAGTTGGGGAATTTTTTGGTTATTATCTCTCCAAAATTTTTCTCAGGTCATTTCTCTCTTCTTTTTCTGAGACCCCTGTAATGCAAATATTAATGCACTTCTTGTTGTCCCAGAATTATCTTAAACTATCCTCATTTCTTTTCATTCTTTTTTCTTTTTCTGTTCTGCAGTAGTGATTTCCACTAATCTATCTTCTAGCTCACTGATCCATTCTTCTGCCTCATTTAGTCTATTCTTGGTTCCTTCTGGTGTGTTATTCATTTCAGTGATTTTATTCTTCAACTCTGTTTGGGGATTCTTTATATTTTTCAACTCTGCTAAAACCTTTGCTCTGAGCATCTATACTTCTCTTGAGTTCTCTGAACATCTTGGTCATCATTACTTTAAACTCTTTCTCAGATAAATTGCCTAATTCCTCATCACTTATTTCTTCTGGGATTTTACCTTGTGCCTTGGCCTGGGAGATATTCCTCTGCCACTTCATATTGTCTATCTTTCTGTTTGTATTTTTAGGTAGGTTAGTTACATTTCTCAACCTTGGAGAGGTGTGATCTAAGTGTTTTAAATGCATGTTATCATTTAATCCTAATAACAACCCTAGAAGGAGAGCAGATAAAACTCAGGGCAACTTGGTGCATTATCTATGGTTACACAGATAGCAAATAATAGACGTGGGATTTAAGTCCAGGTTTGCCAGCTCCAGGCTCACCCTCCTAGCCATAGTAGTTGCCTTTTGCCTTTGCCAAGCCCCTAATTTAAGCCATAAGTTGTAACACAGAACACAAACTCTGGAGTCACATTTCCTGTCTGGGTTTAACTTCTGCTTACTTCATTTCCATGAACCTGTTTCTTCATCTGTAAAACAGGGAAACTATTGTACCTATTTCATAGACTAAGAATTACATGAGATGAGGCAGGGATGGGGTGTAGGGCTCCATACCTTTTAGCTTTTCCATTTGTGCCAGGCTTTGCAGGATGAAAAGAAGTCAGAGAGGGGCCTTTGGACCCAAGTCCTCACTGACTTAAAGTCCAGAGAGGCAGGGGGCGCTTACCACCTTCCTCGCTCAGGTTTTTCTCCTCTGTCGAGTCCTTCAGATTTAATACCAAGAAGCCATCTCCTGACCACAAAGGCGAGATTCTAATAATTCCCACCGGTTCTTGACTATGGTGCCCAAAGAGACTTCTAAGCTAGTGATTTTCAAAGAGGGAACGGAATTCCTGTGTTTGAAGAGAGGGGCTTGGTGGTTGGGTGGTTTATTGTGTTTAAATGTGAGTAAAAAAGCCATCCTGAGGGTAGCAGTTGACTGAGGGCTTATGAGTGACTGGGCATCGACACAGCTGGGCTTCACCTCGGTTCCTGCCATCCCAGAGTCAGAAGTCTCTCCAGGTATGGAGAAGCAGTCACTTCCTCTAAGAGATTTGGAGATGCCAAAAATATATAATCAGTTGCTCAAAGAGAATCGGAAGGTCATTGTACCTACTCTTCTGAGAAAGAACAAATGTGTTTGATGATGAAACAGAGCAGAACCCTAACTTGTAGCTGCTGAAATTGGAAGGTGCCACCTGGATGGACATCCCCCAACCTGTGGATGAAGCTCTGATCTACTAGGGACGTCACAGTAGGGACCACACCTCTGCAGGGGCATCACCTGTTCCCTCACCACCAGCCACCTATCCTTTCTTCTGAGAATTGTTTTCTGCCTTCTTTGAGGGAACAAATGGTCTGAAATATTGAACTGGAAAAAGTGCTCCAGGCACAAACTCTTCTCCATGGGACCCTGAGACAGTTATTTATTGAAGGCCAATGATACGCCAGAGACTAGGCATTTGTCATGTCATCAGTTCTCCCTACAACACTCGGAGATGGAGAACTGACCTTCATTTCACAGATGGAGATTTAGGTTCAAAAATTCTTAGTAGCTGTTGAAGGTCACACACCCGCTAAGCGACAGATTTGAATCATTGAGCTCCCCACCACAGAGCCTCCTTCTCTCATGCCAGAGATGCTGAGCTCCTTGGCCTCGGCTGCAGCCCATGCAGTGCCAGTGTTTTGAGCTCCCAGGTGACTCTAATGGGCTGCCTGGGCTGAGAACCACCACATCCGCCTTCCTGTAATTCACAGTGTTTTATTCCATCTTGCGTCACAGAGTCCTTGGGGGAGGTGGGGGCAAGCTATGACTCTCCTGTACAGAAAATATATATATATATATATATATATATTTTGGAGGTAATTAGATGTATTTATTTATTTTTAATGGAAGAGGTACTGGGGATTGAACCCAGGAACTCATGCATGGTAAGCAGGCACTCTACCACTGAGCTATACACTTCCCTCCTATACTGCTTTTTTAAGGTCCTATTTAAGGCCTTTCTTTTTTTATATTTTTACACAGAAAGGTACATATAATTTCAGATAATTATGGAAGTTTTGAAGCTTTTACATGAATCCTTTAAGGGTGGTGAACTCAAATTAAGGTCAAGTCTGTAAATCCTTGGCTCTAATTACTTGGTCACACATGACAGTTAGCTGAGAGTTTTTAAACAATTCAGATTTCCACGCCGCACCCCAGATCTACTGATTCAGAATCAGTGGATCTGTGTTCTTGTAATATGTTCCCAGAAGATTCTTGTATGTGCAACGAGAAAACTGTCTTTGGGCGAGTTTTTGGGAAACTACCACTTTAAATGATGTGCATTTGATGGATCAGAATTTATTTCTGTCACTTCCACGAGCTACTCAACCTTGTGAACCTTCTATGTCCTCTTCAGTAAATGGAGATAACAATTGTCCTTACCTCATACGGTTGACATGAGGTTAAATAAAATATCCCATGTGAGTGTTTAGCACAGGGTCTGACACTTAAGTACTCAAAAAGTGTCAATTTATCATTAATTATTTAGTATTATTTTATCATCTATGTAATTAATCTCTATAAATGGCCTTTTGGTGATAGAATTGGGAACAGAATCTGACAGAGTCTGTCAACAATAATACATGAAAGACGGGAAATAATTCAAAGTTTATTAAACATTAAGAATAACACACAGATAAAGGTTTGGACTTAACAGCATAAACACCACCAATGCCATGGTGTACAATTAAACTGACCTCAAGTGAACTTGTACCTGTTTAACAGATGCGATCTTTGTGGTGTTGCCAAAAAGGATAATGGTGGATTACTGTCATGTTTGGGAAGGTGCTCCAAAATGAAAGATTTTATGTCTTAACTACTCACACACACACACACACGTTCTTCTACATACACTTGGCCCTCTGTAACATGTACTGACATTGGTTGCCAAACCAATGGATCAAATTTGAGGACATGGCTTTGCTTGTTTTTTTTTTTTTTAAAATGACATTATTAATTGTAGAGAAAACCTAGAGGCGTTCTTGGCCTCTCCAGTGGGGGGCTAGGAGCCCTCGGCAGGAAGCTGGCAGACTGAGAGCAGAAGGTGTCCACCATCTTCTGGGATTGCTCTGATTAACTCAGATAAAGTTTTGAGTTTTCCTAAAAGGAACATTAGGGGGGAAGTAGATAAACTACTTTGCACTTTACAGAATGTCTTTTGTTTCACTTTATAGTAGAAGGGGGTGGGAGGGACTCTACTTAAAATTCTTCTTGACTTTTCTGAAAACAGACCCAAGATCTTTTAAACGTACATTTAGAACTATTGTCAATTCCCTCACAAAACCAGTGAGTTGGAAGGAACCTCTGGGCTACAGCTTCCTCTCCACCCAATGCCAGAATTCCGTCTGAGTGCTCTTCAAACCAGTGGTCCTTCTGCTTCAAGGTCAAGGGACGGTTTGACAGAGGCCCTGTTATACTTGAAGATAAAAGGCCTATCATGATCTTGCCCACTGTGGGTTCTGAATGGTCCAAAGGTGGCCACTCTCCCCAGAAGAGGAAGTGATCACTTGGAGCCCTCCCACTCCCTACATATGTCCTCAATCTAGCCCAAGTAGGATAAGCTGACCAAATTAAGCCTTTCTTTGCAAGTCTAGTCAAAAGAAAGGATGCTGTGACCTTGTCAGGAAGTCCTAGGCCGCTCATACCAAATCACGTCTAAATGATGTTGGCATAATATGACTTGGATTCATTTTTAATGGCCAAGTAATTAATCTCTGAGAGATGCTTATGATGAAAAGGTGAAAAATGACAACAGGACTCTTTTAATAGCTGCAGTCTGCAGAACTCATCTGACCCCAGATGATCCAAGTATTTCCAAATTGGGCCACAGCTTCCCACGCCATTTAGCAGAACTGACTTATTTACTAGTTAACTGCCCTGGACAGAAGGCAGTGAGTCCAGGGGTGAGCACTCCTGTTCATGTGGTGACAATGACCTACATATAAGGCACCTGTACAGACTCCAAAGTTTAAAAATTTTTAAGACGAGGTAGGTTTCTGAAACCTCCCCTGGCAGGCCAAAGAGTAAGTTTTATTATGATCTTTTAATTTTTTTTTCTGCAGAAAACATGATTGTAATTCTCATTTGATACAAACAACCAAATTTCAGAAAGACTAGTGCTCAAATGGTTTTTTCCAGCTACCATTTTGTACTTCAATGAATTTGGATGGTCTACGGTGCAATCCTTCAACACCTCTCCACTTAAAGGCATCATTTGTTTCTGTTTTAGTGATCCTGCCATGTTGCAATTCTGCCTCAGTTAGTCTCTTTGCCTATAAAAAGGCCAACTCTGTGTCCGCGTGTGTCTCTTTCTGAATGTCACTTACTCCTTTCTGCCTAAGCTTGCCAAAGGTTTTGTTTATTTTATTAGCCATGAACAACATATTTCAACTCTAATGCTCTCCCATCTTCCACTATAATCTGTAGCTTGGGACAAAATGGACACAGTAGGGGCATCCTACTAGTCAGGTTTCCCAAGACCATGACACTGTTAGAGAAGCACTACTGATGCACTGACAAGGAGACCACCAGGTCATCAAAGAATTAGATACTCTGGAGGCAGGAAACTAGGAAATCCCACCAACAGAAGGGTACTTTAATCTAGCAGAAAATATTTGCAACAGCAGGATCTTTTGACATAACACAAGTCAGTGAAACAATAGAACGGTCGTCTTTAAATTCGAAACATCTATCGAATTATGAACCACACACATAGCACCGATATCAACCTTATACTGGGTAAGATGCACGTGCCCACAGAGGAGAACAGAATTGTTTGGGATGCCTGCAGTGATATTCCATTCCAGGAACTCATAATTTTGAAATGAACATTTTTGTGGCAGATGCTTTTCCTAAAAAACACAGTATCATCCAATAAATATTTGACTAACATCCATTTTGTGTTTTTGGATGACGTTAACCAACTTCTTTCTGAGGCCTAATAGGAAGTAAGAAAGCTCCTGATATACTTTAGAGCAGAATTCGTCACAGCAAGCTTCGATACTGTCATAAAATTTTAATTTAAAGCAGAAAACATGCTGATGTGTCAGTGATAGGCTTAAAATATTAAAGACTTCAGAAAGCCCCAAGCACTTCTTTTCTGTACAACATTGATGAATATATATCTTTGCTATATAACTTTAAAACATGGAATAGTTTTTCCTTTTCTCTTTGCTATATATAATATATGTCTTCCAAAATACATTGTCAGTATTTATATCTGAAAAATACTGTACAAAAAGAACTTCCTATAATTACTCTGTATAAACATTAAACAATTTAACAATCTCTCCTTTTGGTCTACAGTAAACATGTAAATTGATTGGCTTCACCACAGTTTGTGACAACACCATCCCCTTCTGAGATACACCAGTGTCTTTTACATTCATTTTTCAGAAGTCCACTTTATAAGAGGACATACGTTCAAAAGCAAACAGAATAAGAAACATAAGCTCCAGAGTCATTAATTTATGAAGCATTCAAAAAATGACACCACTAGAAAAAAGGGTTTTACAAAACATCAACTTATTAACTTAATTGACTGATTTTCAAAACAAGGTATAATCCACAAAAATATATATACTACAAAAAATGGAGAAAACTGAATCTTAAGTGATTGAGTTGTACTGCATATCAAGAGGGATATGGAAAAAATTAACTAGAAAAGTGGAGGGTAGGGGATGTGGGAAAGGGGAGGAAAAAAAGCCAACACATCAATGTCAAAAGCTGTTCCAAGATGCATTTTTCGGCTGTGTATTGATGAGTTAACCTCTCGTTCTTAGACCTGGCATTTCCCTCTGCTTCCCTGTCCTGGGGATGTTCTGGGCATGCTCAAATGCATTACTGTAATTTTTGCTTTTTTAAAAGACACTGAAATTCTTAGGTAGGGAAGATATCCTACGTCCACTAGTAATACTCAGGCAGCATGCTCTAGCGTACAATAGGATTATTGCTTTAGGTACAGACAGTGCAAAAACACACTCTGTGTTCTATAATAGTACTCTTACTTACTGGGGTCGGTAGAGATAAAAGGAAACTTAGTAGACAGCAGTAAGTAAATATGGGATTTAATCAATCTAAACAGCACTTTAAATTTGAAGACGATTATCACCAAAACTGAAAATATGAGGAAAGCAACCTATAACTGAAGAGAGCCGCAGGGTAGTGCGAAGTTATTCTGTGCACCTCGTTAGCATGGTAACTTTCAGATTCGACAGAACAAGAGCTTACGGTCTGGAAAACCGAGATCTACTATTTCGCCAGGGCCCCCTCGGAGTGGGTCCAAGCGGAGGGTCCTGGGAGAGTAGGTAGGAGCCGACATGAAGCATCGCTGAAAGGGCAGGCGCGGAGGAGAAGGGAGGGGCAGGAAAATCCACGAGAGGTCTCTGCGGTCCAGTAAAAACATGGCACCTTTCATTTTGGGAGCTAAAGGATGATGGAGGGCTATCAAAATGGCAAGTGCAAAGGGACGCGGGCGCGCATACACGCGCGCGCGCACACACACACGCACACACACCCCATACATGGGCACAAACACAATCTCACACACACACATACACACAGATTGTGAGTCCGTTGTGTTGATGCGCCTGGTAAAGTGCTGATGTCAGAAAGGTCGGTCGAGTGCGGTGCTCTCAGCCGGGAAGCCACTGTCCCTACAGGGGCCCGTGCCTGGCCTCATACTTGGCCAGGATGTTCTTGCACTTGCCCAGCTCCTTGCGCAGGTCGGCCACCTCCTGGCGCAGCGCCGAGTTCTCCTTCTCCAGGAAGGACGCCCGGATGGCGATCTGGTTCTCCTTGAGCCTCCGTGCGTCCCGGGAGCGCTTGGCTGCCATGTTGTTCTTCCGCCGCCGCGCCCAGTACTTGTCGTCCTGCTCGGGGACAGAGAGGGCCTTAGACTCGGGCTGCAGGGCGCCAGCCTGCCCCACAGAGCATGCGTGCCCCCCCCCCTCTGCCACCCCTCCCCTCCCTCCCCCCCTTCCACGTACACACAGAGCAGAGGCTGGAGCAAAGCCAGGGGCTCCCGCACACCCCGAACTGCCCTCCGAAAGGCTTCCCGCTCCTTCTGAGAAGTTTTGGGACGCTTTTCTTCCCTGGGCATTCATGCTGTTTGGTACAAGCCGATGCAGTATCGTTGGAAGTGATAAAAGAAATGTTCACATAGTGACATGTAGGGAAGTCATGGTGGCTGATTTGATACATGAGTTAACTTGAATTTTATGCTAACTAAAATAACCTGACTGTGGCCTTGCAAGTACACTGTACATCTGCTTTAATTATTAAAGAAAAGAGCACACTGACCAGAAGTAATGAATGTCCATGCTAAAAACAAAAAGATTAATGTCCCTCTTCTCAGGATGCCAATGCTGGTCCTCCCTTGATGGGAAGGCCCCCTTCCCAGGTGCCAGGGCCATGCTGACTCGGCCTGTATGTGCTGGTCTGTTCTTTTTATAACCTTGAAGAAATTTATCTCTGGCTTGTTAATGCTTCTTTGTTCTGACAAGATGTAAAACTCTGCTGGAAGCCATGTTCCTCCAGAGCAGCGCCTCAGAGTAATCTGGGAAGGAGGCTTCCAGGCTAGTTCTCAGTTTGGCTCGAATAAAACTCTTTCCTTTCTTCTTATTGATTGTTTATTGATTATTGATGTCAACAGAAGGCAACCTGGCAATACCTATCAATGACTTAAGTGCAGCCCCACTTTAGGCTCTCATCCCATGGCAGTCCTCATGCGCTAGCACAGGCCCCAAAGTTTCACTGCAGCATTGTTTGTAGTAGGAAAAAAAAACCTAATTATCAGGAGGAGCTCTAATAACTGCATCATGATAGGTTTACACAATGGTGAAAAATAATGATCCAACTGAACGAGAAAGATGCTCACTGTGTGGGTGGAAACAATGACAATTTACAGATAAATATGTATGGCTTCATCCTACTTTGGTTAGAAAATTGTAATGTTATATATTCATAGAGAGAGGCCCAGACAGATTTATATCCAGCTACTAAAAGCGGTGCCTTTGCAAAGGGGGTTGAAGGAGGGAGGCCAAGGAGAGAAGGAGGAACTTTCACCTTTTACTTTGTATCCTTCCAAACTATAAGAATAATATATAATGGGCATGCATACTTTAGTAATTAAATTTTTTTTAAAAAAATAGTGGGGAGGGTATATAGCTCAAGTGGTAGAGTGCATGTTTAGCATGCACAAGGTCCTGGGTTCAATCTCCAGCACCTCCTCTAAAAATAAATAAATAAATACACCAAATACCTCCTCTCAAAAAAAAACCTAAAAGTAAATAAATAAATAAACTTCCACCTGCTACTGAGCAATAGACTTACATTGGTGGCTAGCGTTTACATAATTTGCTCTAATTTCCTGTTTAGGCCTTCTTAGCCTGAGTCATGTTTAACTGTGGTCAATGAGAAAGCAGTCCCTGCTTTCCCCGCCCCCGCCTCACCTGGCCACATGTGCAGAGGAGCTAGGAAAGGTGTGGAATGGGCACATCTCACGGGGGAGGGGAGCTGGGAGTACGTGGAGCAGAGGACTGTCCTGGACTAGAAAAATCAGCCTGCCTCCCCCGGTCATCACAGAATGGCTGGTGGGGGTTGGGCGCAGGACACTTAGTGGGGCTGATACATCCCTTGTCCCCTTCTCCTCTATCTCCCAGGTTTAGATGCCATCTGCCTACCCAGGTGCCCCCACATGGCAAAGACCCCCTCAGTCCAGTCCCATCTCCTTCTTGAGGGTCTTGTGTCTGATGCCACCTCCCCCAGCAGTCTCCTTCTGATACGTCAGCACTCCCTTTTCCTCCCCTGAGGGTAGGAACAATGTCCGTGGTGACTCACCTTGGAATCCTCAGGCCCTGACACAGGACTTGGCAGACATCAGCATTTGAAAAATATTTGTCAGGTGAATGAATGGGCATTTGAAAGACACCCAGGTGATTAAAGGAATCCTCAGCTAGGAATCAGTATGCCACCCTTTCATCCTTCCGGGGGTGCCCGCGAACCCAAGAGGATTTCACTCACTTGGTTTGCTCCTCCAGGGCTGGAGGCCGGCCACACACACACACACACACACACACACACACACACACACACACACACACACCCCTCCTACCCTAACCCCGTACCCGACCGTCCTACCGTTCCCGTCCGTTCCGGTCGGGTACGGGGTAACGGGGGTAAACCGGTTAAACCTT